TTATGACTGCCCTAGGCTCACGGATTGAACTTGGCACCATAAGTTAAAAGCGGCAAGACTTTAAGGACTTGTAATAATAATAATAATAATAATAATAATAATAATACTAATAATAATAATAATAGTAATAGTAATAATAATGATAATGATAATGATAATAATAATAATAATAATAATAATAATAATAATAAAACAGGTGGTACCAAACTCCATGCCATTCCTCGTTTTCCGGCGAGATCACTTGTGGTCCACATTGGGCATCATTTGTCGTCTGGGATCATTTCTGGTCAAATTTGGGGATCATTTCTGGTCTGGGGATCATTTGTGGTCGGGAATCATTTGCGGTGCTGTACAGATCTATGATCCAAATTTCGTTTGGGACCCAAGATCCGAACATCAAGATAGGCACAATCTGGAATCCGCGCCAAAATTCACAGCTGATCCATGATTCACTGTGTTTTCAAAATCCACAAATCCGCTCCATTTACCACAAAAATCCACAATCTGTGCACTTTTCAAGGCCAAATCCGTCAATCTGAAAATCTATTCACCCCCCATTAGTAGCGTAGCCAATAAAATGCAGGATTTGCATTAGTCCACTAGTTTGGGGATACTAAATAGATTTAGCCAAGGCTAAAAGCAAAGTTCTGGGCTGGGTTGTTTACAGCCCGATGAAGCTAACCCAGGCGAGAATTTTGATTTGAGTTTTGTAACTTTGCAGTGAGATTTTCTGTTTTTATTGTTTAGCCTTCTGTTTTGAGTTTGAATAATCTCAAAATACACATAACATAAGCAGTGAAAAACATTTGTATATAAGAAAAAATTATACTTCGGTTAACTTTAATCCTGGGTTAGCGTTAACTGCCTTCCGAACAACCCGGCCATGATCGTTAAATCTGGTACATCACAAGCATTCTGTAATTGTGTTTGTCGATCGATTGCATCTTTTGTTTGGGTTCTAGCATCGTCAAATTCATGTTTGCCGCAAATTTTAGGGTAATTCATCTAGTGTAGTCCATGGGTAGTCCATGGGTACAATTGCCAATTGTCCGATGACCGACTGTTATTTGCAGGCTTGACAGTGATATGTTTTTGATAAGCATTAATTTTGTTTTGATTGCCAAAGGTACATTACTTTCAAAAATTTTGGACGTTTAATTTTGAAATGCTTTGCTAGAACACAGCTTAGTTAAATTTTTGCCTTCAAAACTTGAGTCAGACTGGAAAATTTATGGAATTGATCTGCATTACATGTATGTTCTCATAAAAGAAACAAAAATTGTCCTTTCAGGTTATAAAAAGAACAAGCAAATCCTATTTCAAGTTCTTGCTTCATCATGCATGTGATGGTGCTGTCCAACAAGAAACTATGTACTTTATACTGTACTGTGAATATTTTGGATACTTAAAATTTCGGGCACTTACAAATTTCAGATGGTTATATTTCTGGACATTTTTTTGTCTGAAATTAACATTGTCCAAAATTTTTTCCAAGTAATGTATATGCAAACTATTGAAATTTTATGTTGTCATAATAAGGAGAGTAATGAGCAGAGAAGAGTCTTCATTTCATTAAGATGTACCCCAGTTCAGAGGATTTTAAGTTTCTCATTTCAAGCTTATTTATTGCTGGGTCAATATTATTCCTTGGAGTGATTCAAAATTTCTCACTAGAACATAGCTTAGTTAAATTTTTGCCTACAAAACTTGAGTCAGACTGGAAAATTTATGGAATTGATCTGCATTACATGTATGTTCTCATAAAAGAAACAAAAATTTTCTTTTCAGGTGATAAGAAGAACAAGCAAATCCTATTTCAAGTTCTTGCTTCATCGTGCATGTGATGGCGCTGTCCAAGAAGAAAGTATGTACTTTATACTATACTGTAAATATTTTGGATGCTTAAAATTTCAGGTGCTTACAAATTTCAGATGGTTAAATTTCTGGACATTTTTTTGTCTGAAATTAATGTTGTCCGAAATTTTTTGCAAGTAATGTATATGCAAACTATTTAAATTTTATGTTGTCATAATAAGGAGAGTAATGAGCAGAGAAGAGTCTTCATTTCATTGAGATGTCCCCCAGTTCAGAGGACTTTACGTTTCTCATTTCAAGCTTATTTATTCCTGGGTCAATATAATTATTCCTTGGAATGATTCAAAATGTCTTGCCTCTGGCTTCAGAGTTAATGTCTGGTTCAGAATCATTTATCCCAACAAGGAACATCACTGCCTGTGGTCCCAAGGCTAACATTCTGCTGCTAAAACATTGATTGATTACTTAGGAATTACTTTGTATAGGTGGGGTAGAAATGTTTGGGCAATCCTTTAGGAGGTTGTGAAATTCTCAAGACTCTGAAGCAAAATTTTAAGAGAAAAGAATTATTTGCACATTGTTTTCATGCAAGTTTTGCTAAAGTCATGTACAAAATACTTACTAGTTACATATTGGATTTGCAGGCAAGTTGTTAGAGACA